TTCGTGAAAATTCGTGGAAATTCGTAGAAATTCGTGGAAATTCGTGGTAATTCCTGGAAATTCATTGAAATTCGTGGAAATTCATTGAAATTCATTGAAATTTATAGAAATTCATAGAAATTTAAAGAAATTCATAGAAATTCATAGAAATTCATAGAAATTCATAGAAATTCATAGAAATTCATAGAAATTCATAGAAATTCATAGAAATTCATAGAAATTCATAGAAATTCATAGAAATTCATAGAAATTCATAGAAATTCATAGAAATTCATAGAAATTCATAGAAATTCATAGAAATTCATAGAAATTCATAGAAATTCATAGAAATTCATAGAAATTCATAGAAATTCATAGAAATTCATAGAAATTCATAGAAATTCATAGAAATTCATAGAAATTCATAGAAATTCATAGAAATTCATAGAAATTCATAGAAATTCATAGAAATTCATAGAAATTCATAGAAATTCATAGAAATTCATAGAAATTCACAGAAATTCATAGAAATTCATAGAAATTCATAGAAATTCATAGAAATTCATAGAAATTCATAGAAATTCATAGAAATTCATAGAAATTCATAGAAATTCATAGAAATTCATAGAAATTCATAGAAATTCATAGAAATTCATAGAAATTCATAGAAATTCATAGAAATTCATAGAAATTCATAGAAATTCATAGAAATTCATAGAAATTCATAGAAATTCATAGAAATTCATAGAAATTCATAGAAATTCATAGAAATTCATAGAAATTCATAGAAATTTATAGAAATTTATAGAAATTCATAGAAATTCATAGAAATTCATAGAAATTCATAGAAATTCATAGAAATTCATAGAAATTCATAGAAATTCATAGAAATTCATAGAAATTCATAGAAATTCATAGAAATTCATAGAAATTCATAGAAATTCATAGAAATTCATAGAAATTCATAGAAATTCATAGAAATTCATAGAAATTCATAGAAATTCATAGAAATTCATAGAAATTCATAGAAATTCATAGAAATTCATAGAAATTTATAGAAATTTATAGAAATTCATAGAAATTCATAGAAATTCATAGAAATTCATAGAAATTCATAGAAATTCATAGAAATTCATAGAAATTCATAGAAATTCATAGAAATTCATAGAAATTCATAGAAATTCATAGAAATTCATAGAAATTCATAGAAATTCATAGAAATTCATAGAAATTCATAGAAATTCATAGAAATTCATAGAAATTCATAGAAATTCATAGAAATTCATAGAAATTCATAGAAATTCATAGAAATTCATAGAAATTCATAGAAATTCATAGAAATTCATAGAAATTCATAGAAATTCATAGAAATTCATAGAAATTCATAGAAATTCATAGAAATTCATAGAAATTCATAGAAATTCATAGAAATTCATAGAAATTCATAGAAATTCATAGAAATTCATAGAAATTCATAGAAATTCATAGAAATTCATAGAAATTCATAGAAATTCATAGAAATTCATAGAAATTCATAGAAATTCATAGAAATTCATAGAAATTCATAGAAATTCATAGAAATTCATAGAAATTCATAGAAATTCATAGAAATTCATAGAAATTCATAGAAATTCATAGAAATTCATAGAAATTCATAGAAATTCATAGAAATTCATAGAAATTCATAGAAATTCATAGAAATTCATAGAAATTCATAGAAATTCATAGAAATTCATAGAAATTCATAGAAATTCATAGAAATTCATAGAAATTCATAGAAATTCATAGAAATTCATAGAAATTCATAGAAATTCATAGAAATTCATAGAAATTCATAGAAATTCATAGAAATTCATAGAAATTCATAGAAATTCATAGAAATTCATAGAAATTCATAGAAATTCATAGAAATTCATAGAAATTCATAGAAATTCATAGAAATTCATAGAAATTCATAGAAATTCATAGAAATTCATAGAAATTCATAGAAATTCATAGAAATTCATAGAAATTCATAGAAATTCATAGAAATTCATAGAAATTCATAGAAATTCATAGAAATTCATAGAAATTCATAGAAATTCATAGAAATTCATAGAAATTCATAGAAATTCATAGAAATTCATAGAAATTCATAGAAATTCATAGAAATTCATAGAAATTCATAGAAATTCATAGAAATTCATAGAAATTCATAGAAATTCATAGAAATTCATAGAAATTCATAGAAATTCATAGAAATTCATAGAAATTCATAGAAATTCATAGAAATTCATAGAAATTCATAGAAATTCATAGAAATTCATAGAAATTCATAGAAATTCATAGAAATTCATAGAAATTCATAGAAATTCATAGAAATTCATAGAAATTCATAGAAATTCATAGAAATTCATAGAAATTCATAGAAATTCATAGAAATTCATAGAAATTCATAGAAATTCATAGAAATTCATAGAAATTCATAGAAATTCATAGAAATTCATAGAAATTCATAGAAATTCATAGAAATTCATAGAAATTCATAGAAATTCATAGAAATTCATAGAAATTCATAGAAATTCATAGAAATTCATAGAAATTCATAGAAATTCATAGAAATTCATAGAAATTCATAGAAATTCATAGAAATTCATAGAAATTCATAGAAATTCATAGAAATTCATAGAAATTCATAGAAATTCATAGAAATTCATAGAAATTTATAGAAATTTATAGAAATTCATAGAAATTCATAGAAATTCATAGAAATTTATAGAAATTTATAGAAATTTATAGAAATTCATGAACACACAGACAGCCAGACAGCGCGTTGTTGTTTCTGTGCCAGTTAGACGGGCTGCCAGTTAGACACGAATGGGGTAATGATTAATGGGGACCGTTCAGCTTGTCATCGAAAAGCAAGTTAGTGAGAAATAGTGTTGTCAACATAAAATCTAGTGAGAAAAGCAGTGCTGCCAACATCTCAAAAGAATATCACTAAAATATAAGCTAGGTACTCACAGAATGTCTCATTCTAGAGTTTTCGTAGGAGTATTAAGCTCGTGTAAAGTACTCAATTCCAATGAAGTATTCCTTTCACAAGAAGCACGTGTTAATTCTAAACCTTTAAATGGCTGACTTATCTACAGAATTGTCTCATGTCTGTTTGGACCTTCTCTTAGATCTCTTAGTTCTAATCCTACATGAAGATTGGACTACATCGCAAATCCTTTCTTTTACACTTGAGGAGAAGGGTCGTTAGTGGTGATCCAGTGATTCAGGTATTAAGAAACTAGTATAAAACTTTTATTTTGGCGAGATCAATTATTTTTAATTTTTCATTAAAATAAACTTTTAACTTCTTCATGTATGAGATACTTACTCAGGATAGCAATAGTACTTTTAAGATGAATTTTCTAATCGATAATGCGTTAGATTTTTAAATATTTAGATAGTTATACTATAATCAGGTAAATACTAATAATTTTGATTATGGTATTAAAAACAACAATAATTATTTATTTATTTATTTACAACTGCAATTGGGTCACCTATATTAACAATAAATAATGCTGTTTCTGTAACTAAATCTTTCACCATACTAATTGAAACATATCCTTCAATGTTTCCACCGAGTTCAAGTGGAAAAATGCTTTGTAAATATGGCTGTTAGACTTGTTGAACTAGGCCACGACCGTCAGCGACGACACCCTTCCGAAAATTCACTCAAACCACCCCAATCTAAGTCTCGCGGTCCTTGTATCGAATTTCCGTGTTGAGCATTCTCCCTTGTCAGTTCCAGTTGTTGAATTCAACAACTTCTATAACTTGTTGAATCATCGAGTATCGATTAAGCCGTAAATCTTGGTTGTTTGTCGAACGTCGCGCTCCTCTGGCCTGGTGAGGGTTTATCAAAACTGCTTGCTACGTTTAAACGCTTTGATTTATATCTAGGATTAGTTTTGCCGGGATCAGGTGCGCTTTAGCGAATGATTTATCCTGTTGTTTTGCCGTGCGTCCCGTTTCCTGTTTTTGTCGTTGCAAGTCCTGGCGGTTGAGTAAATTAGACGCTGCTAATTCTGGATGCTGGATGTAAATGTAAACGTTAACATGAGATGTTGCTAAACATATTCTGTTTATCAACTGTACAAATAAATAAGACATGCTGTTTCTAAGTAGAAATGCGATAAATTTACTGCAGCTATACGAATTTATTTAGGAAGATAGGTTTGAAATTACCAAATCCTAATTTAAAAAAAAGGTGGTTGATAGATCTTCTAGAAGCTGAAATGTTTTATAGGTTACCTTGTATTGGGCAAATTCATCTTTAACATAGCCAGTTTGTTTTGCAGAGAATCAAGTTTGGGTAGATTGCATCAGGATCACCTCTATATAGACCTAAATTTATTTATTCCTCAGAGGTGTAACTTAACTTTAAACTTAGATCATCGAGTTAGTAGGAACAGGAGATGACATACCAAACAAATATTCAAAATTAGAATGGTAAAGACCTTGAGTAGGTCCGAACTCAATATTTTTTGGGTTGTTTAAAGTCGTCGTTGTAATTTGGATAATTATAATTCAATGAATTTTCACGTGATATATCTTTTCAAATACGAAATGAATAAAATAGATATGCCTGATTAAAAAAATATGTAATATTGTAATAGGTGTTTTCTTAAATAAAAATAAACTAACTTAAATTTAAAAAGTGTTTATTTTCCTAAAACATTTACAAAACTGTAAGCAAAAGCTTAAGGATCACAATATTTTTAAAATAATAATTTTATCATAAGTAATAAGCAAGATAATGAAATAGAACGAATAGAATAGATATGCCTGATTAAAAAAATATGTAATATTTTAATAGGTGTTTTCTTAAATAAAAATAAACTAACTTAAATTTAAAAAGTGTTTATTTTCCTAAAACATTTACAAAACTGTAAGCAAAAGCTTAAGGATCACAATATTTTTCAAATATTAATTTTATCATAAGTAATAAGGAAGATTATTAACATAAAGTAACACCATATGCTTAATGTACAGAATAATAGATGTTATGAACATATTTATTTATGCCAAAGAGATAAAATAATTGATTTAAAAATAATTTATGACTTTTACTAATTTAAAATATAAAATAAACTTGAAATAAATACAAATTTTATTTAATTGGCGTTGAGTCATAGAGAGGGAGTTCCCGGACGTTCTGGATCGCCCAGAGTGTTCTGGTACAGAGCTGGCTTTATATAAATACTTTGGCTTTTGCATCGTTATTACACCGTCTCGCAAACAAATACATCTACCGAATGTGGTTTGTGGATAAGGCGTTGACTTTTTAAACCAGAAGTTGTGTGGATTTAGCTCTCGGTGTAATCATTTTTTATATTTTATTCTAGTTTTTCTTAGTTTTATATTCACATTTGTCTAATGTTCACTATGTGTATTGTATTCATACTGCCGGCCTTAGTTATTAAGTTTTAAATAGGCTTAAGTATAATTTTATTACTTGTAAATATATATCATAATATTGTAATTAATTATTGTTAACGAAGAACTATGGAATTAATTAGGTTACCTGTATTGACACCTAAGCAATATGAAGTAATTTGTTTAATTCGATGGTTTTTCAATATATACTGCAAGGTTAAAAAATGTAATACATACTTTTGGATTAAAATAAAGACAAGTTACATTTTCAATTCGACTTTGGTTTCATTACAACATGTAAAATAAGAAGGTCCTTTGTCCTAACATTACACATATTTGACAATGAATACCTATGTACATGTTAAGTTAAATCTGAGTTACGCTGAAACCTTTTCTAAAAAAATTTTTCAGTTATTTTGAACATAAAAAAACATTGAAAATAGTCAAGATAATCGTAACTTTGCTAATTTTTTTAACAAAATCTAATTTGGGAGTCGCGTCGTTAATATACAATATACATGTATTTGTTGTTCGATCAAACGTTCGTTTGAGCATGTATCCGAATTAAATGTTCATTATGGGATGATAATCATATGGAGTTCCGTCCACATTTCATACGTTCGAGTCGCCCACTCCTTTGATGTTACCGCTACGATTCCGCTAGTCGGCTATGCCGCGCCAACGAAACCCCTTTGTTGGCATTCGTTGACACGGTCTTTACGCAGCTTAATACTGATTTAGGCATTCAAAACAAAAGAACTTGTTGGCGGTACATACGATGTGTTCTATCTACATGAATCATGAATAAGGGATTAAAATTAATTATTTTACGTTGAACACAATTTTGGCGACTATTATTTCAAGTAAAAATAGCGTCCAAGATGGAAGAAAATGTCGCAACCCTCTTAGATATAAGAGCCCTGCTCACTAGCAGCTATTGTTTGACAGGTCGTAAGTAAATTCTTCTTTTGAAGCCATTTATGCAGTGTGTTATCTATTTCACGAAACTATGACGTTAGTAATATTTTTTTAAATTGAACAAATTATATTTTATATTAAAAAAATTAGTTCCTTTTAAATGCAAATCCAAATTAACAGTTTTTAAGAAAATTATACTAAATGACTTTACAGCTTTATGAAATAAAACAAGAAAATCTAAAATACGATGTAGTCACAAATACATACGCGTGCAAAGTGATTTATCAATGTTGCCATTATTTTAATTACTGGTACTCTTGAATAGGTACAAATTTCATCTTCCGTTTGGCTTTAAATGTTCAAAACTATATTCCGTATAGAATGTTTGAAATCCTTGATGGGAACAAGTCGACTGACTCTATAAACGAATGCGTGTACTAAAATTATCGGTAAAGAAGGTAGACAATGGTAAGTCTCTCGTTGAGAGGATTGTTTTTAAAAAGAATTTTTATTACTAATTCTTAAATAAAAACCCAAAATAAATTATATTTAGTACTTAATATGAATGTTATCGTTACAAGCTATGCTATCAGACTGACCTTATTTTATTGAAATGTTACTAGGAGAAAAAAATAGAGTCAGCAACCAGATACCGTTTTCCTGTGAAAGGCATATGGGGTCATCGATCATAAATCGCGTATATAATTTGAAATTTCGGCTTTTTTTATAATTATTTAAGCTTTTATTTTGATTGTTTTTAAAGTTGCATTATTGATATTAGCATCAGCAACTGCTCTGATTTATTAAAAAAATGTCTACCAATTCTTAGGTGTTCTTCTTTTATAGTTTTCAAATTCATTTGGAAATAACCAACAGCAAAGTTTTTAAATTGGTAAGTATTTTGTATTAGTAGGAAAAAACTAGAAATAGGATTTTTTAGGTAATTTGGCTGTGGGGGCCCGAGGTATCAGTTCATTTTGGAAAAAAGCTCTATTGCCCAAAATAGTTTGTTCTGAAATAATGAATAAATAAAATTTTAAATCAATAGTAGATATTTGTATGGTTCGTATCGCATTTGTTAATTTGTTTCATGTTAACACTTATTTTTAATTTTCTCTTTAGAAATTATTCCATGTAGATTTACTTGTATTATATCATTCCTGAGTGGAACTGAACCACTTTCGGTTACTGTAGATAATTCTGTCGTATTGTAACGATCAAATATTTTAGCTTGTATTTTTATATCTGGTATTTCGTAAGTAAAACTAATAGTCAAAATTGGTTGTTCCCATTTAAATTTAACATGAACGCAGACACACCATAATAACATAATATGTTCTTTGGTAAATTTATAAGAATCATGTAAATTTAACTGTATGGAAGTAGGTATCATATTACTATTATTATAATTATAATTATTATAATCATAATAATTATTACGCAAATTTGTTGATTTGAAAATTACTGACGAATGTTTATTTTTAACATGATTTTCCATTTCGTATATCTTGAAATAATAGCAACATGATTCAATGGGACATTTTTGACTAACTTGTTTTTCACATTGTATTTCATGTGTATACAACTGGTTATAATCAAAAACTGATCCACAACGCCAGATGCAGCTGAACAAAATGTTCTTTAAATCTATTGATGTAAGACCTTCCTCTGTAACTAAATGTTTACTATTATTGGTAGTACATGGACACTTCATGTAATAATTACCATTATTTCCAATTAAATAATAATTATCTTTGTGTAAATTTGGGTAAATTAATGAGCAATAATAACAACTAAATGTAATGGTATTAATTGTTATCTCTGATTTTGGATTTGGATATGTTTGTTTATTAAGCCTATTCCTAGCACGGGTGCATAAATGTTGGCGCGAAAAAGAAAATTCGCGTTTCTGAAGTAAAAGTGTTTTTAAATATTCTCCCAGCTGATTATGAAATGTTTTTGAAAGAGAATCAAAATCAGAATGATTTATTTTGTTTTGTGTAGCTTTGAGAACGGTACTTTTCAATTCGACCCTATTTAAATGAAACATTACCAACAACTTTGACTTATTTGTAATATTTAAAGTTACATTATATGTAACTAATCTATTTCCACTTGAGTATATATTTTTATTTAAAATGTCAACGTTTTTCTCGAAGAAATCCACTTTTAAATTTTTTATTAAATCCTTTTTTTCCAAATTTAATACAAAGTTTAATAAAAAACTCCTTGAACCATCCGCAAATGAATCAGATACATCGCGGAAGTTTACAAAAAGCAAATCTGATTCTAATTGGTACAAAAATGTTTTTTCTATATTCCTTAAGTCAGTTACTTGAAAATTAGGTTTTTCTAATAAATATTCGGAGTGATTTAGTTTAAAGTGACGAATTATTAAAAAGGTAAACATTTCTTTCAAACAAATGGGACATTTGTACTTCTTGGATAAACACATTTTTTCGTGTTCAACTACTTCCGATGATTCCAATAATTGTGTACATCCATCAAACTTGTTAATACACTCGAAAAAACTTCTTGTAGCAATTTGGTTATACATGGAAACCACACCATTGTCCTCTTCGCCCTTGTAGCTTGCTAAACATCTGCCACATTTTATTTTTCTGTTCGGATAAACTTTGACTGGAGTTACTGATAAGGATTTATAACAGTAATCACATACTCTATCACAGGTAATAACATTTAGTATCTGGCTCATCTAAAATTAAAATAAAAACAATAAATCATCAAAGTTTCCAGCAACGCAGTAGGTAAAAGAAAAAAAATACAATTACTGTTCAAAATAGTAATTCGAGAGGCGCTAAAATGGTGGTTCACGCCTTATCGAGACTGAGGCCCACAAGGGTAAACTCGTAGCGTAACAAAAACACAACAAAATACCTCGGTACCAAGGTACGAAGATTTTATGACTAGGGGATTACTATTTATTATTTAGAATTCACTGGTTGAATATGTAATTCAAAATCGTATAATTAAAATTATCTACAAAAACCAGCATACCTCTCTTTTATATAACACATTATATTATCTGTCTTGCTGTACCTTTATTTATGGAAAACCTGAATTTTTTTTTTTTAAATCTTTGGACATGGAACAAACTAATGCAATTCAAAAAGATCGTACACTAATTGACAAAAACCAAATAATGACATTGGAAATGACAGAAACAAACTAGATACTTCTATTTCATAGCCTACATTTCAGTTTCAGTACCATCGAGTGGATGTATTTTAGTAATGCATAGAATTATAAGATCAAACGAACTTACCTGAAGTTAAGTTCGATCTTAATTAAATAAAATAGATATATGTCGCCCCCTGCATATGCTTCGATTCGACCACATAGTTGAAACACAGCTTATACAATACAGCTAAAACACTCTCTTAGCGGCAACGGTTTGCGTCGATTCCGTCGCGCATCGCTTAAGCTCCGCCTTCGGAGGGAAAAGACGGCTTTGGCGTTCAGAAGAGTACTTAGATAAGGTATTGAGCCGTGCGTATAATTTCGTTGATTGCATAATTTCGTTGAGCCTATAATTTCGATGATTTTGTTTGAGCTCTTTGTTGTGTTAAGTTAAAGGTACTGTTATTATTTTGATGACTCTTTAGCTGTGAGTGAAATGAGTGAAAAAAATACATCATTCTGTTTGTGGAGTCAAAAGCTGTTTTAATAAGGGTTATACCTGCAAGAAAATATTCTTTCATTTTCCCAAGGACCTAAACCGGAAAGTGCCACATTATAAGAAATGTTCATAGTTAATAACATAATTTATAGAGGGTGTCCCATTACTGCGTAATTGTTCAATATTTCAATTTGTGTTGTAGACACCCAAAAAAGTTTTAATTAAAAATTATATGGATTTGAAAAATACATATTTTAAAAATATTTTTGGATATACAAGGTGTCGCGTTTTTGCCTGGCAAATCAAAATATATGTTTTTTAAATGGAACACCCTGGATTTTATTTTTTTTAGAATGGTTTGGTAATACAGTATTTAACCCTAGAATAAATTAAAAAATATTACAGTAAAATATTGAAATTATTTTTTTTTTGAAATTAGAGAATGATGCAAACCCCAAATTAAATTATCCTAATTTAGGTAGGTTTATATTGATTTCAAAATTGTTTAATATACAGGCTTAAAAGATATTAAGCTAACGAATAGTGGTGATAGAACTGGTTTATTTTATACAGAGTGTTTTGAAACATGTCTTAAACTGACCGCATAAGTTGTATCTACTCACCAAAAAATAATTTGCAATAACCTTCAAAGAATTGATGTCCGCGTCAAATAAACCTTAAGTAGTAAATTTGATTCTATTCAAAATAATTTTTCTACGCCCACGCACAGACTACAAAACGAAAAAGTATGTTATTGTGTTCAACTAAACGAATATATTTCATATCCATTTTAGGTAGTGAGAACACTTAAAAAAATGAAAAAAAAAATTAAATTTTAATCAATCTACATGATACTAATTTAATTACGAGTAATAAAACTAAAATCCTAAAAGTGTCGGTGAAGATGAGGACAGACCATCTGCGTTCCACGCGAAAATCCCGGGATCGAATCTAGGCCGAGGACTAATTAAATTAAATTGAATATTTTTTTTTATGTTTATTTTATAAATTACTAAAATTCATAATGTTTTTTAAAATTAGTTATTTTTTCTAAAAAACCTAAAATAATTTATTTTAATTTGTAGATTTTCGTCAGTAGGTCGTAGAAAAAATATACTGTACAACTCGAGTGGATTGTCCATATCCACTCTTGTTGCACAAACTACTATTTGTTTTCTTGGTTTAATGTTTACATCAATAAATAGGAACTAAATTAATTTACTTTTCGAGTTTTCTTGTAAAAATCGATATTACTTCCTCCAAGTACAAATTTAGTACCTACCTAAAATAGGTACTAATTATATAATTTCGCATAATGTTGTAATTTAAATTTCACATTACTGTCAAGTTTCAAAATATAATATATAAATAAAAACTGTCAAATTATTACTTCTACAAATCTTTATGTATAAAAATACATCTAAATAAAACCGATATTGTTAAAATAAAAGCACAAGTTACCGATTCTTTATAATAACCCAGAATATCATCGAGTTCTCAGACCTCAGTCAGTCGAAGCAGTCGTTTATCTAGGTATAAACACTATAAACCCTTTGCGCGATGAATGACACTTGCCAGACACACGGGGTACCACTTGATTTGCATCCACGGCCACAATTTGTCATGAAGTGACTGTTTTAGCTCAAAACATCTGTTAGCAAGGATATTACTAGCCACATACAAATTATTTTATCTCTAATCCGAAAGATGTGGTGTGATACGTAATATTTATATTTAAATAATTTTTTTATTTATATTTGACAGATTTAAAATAAATTTAAAACTTAATTTCTCAAAACTTACTTAATGTGGCATGTAACCAACCTTATTACGCCAATAATAATAAATATATTTTTTAATCCGGGCCCGACTTTTCCCTCCAATCTAACAGAGATAGCACCATTCCGTCTCGCTTGGTTCTCGACCACCACATCAAAGACGCCGACACGGAGTTGTGGAGCTGTATTGTATAAGCTGTGGTTGAAAGCTGGCACAATTTGATATATTCCCTTCTCCACCAATCCCCTCATATCAACACTTTGCTTTAGTCATTTTATAGCATACTTGTTGCAACTTAAAGGAGACTTTAGAAATATTGGGTGGATCTGGAGCTTATTTACTTCGACGAGGCATCATATAATTAAGATCGAACTTCACTTCAGGTAAGTTCGTTTGATCTTATAATTATATTTCTGCCTCGTCTCATAAATAAGATATATGTCGCTGTTTAAAGCATGTTGCAACAAAAATTACGATAAAACATTTTATTTATATTTAACTGATTACAAGTTTAAAATTTATATTGTCATAATTGACCCACTTAAAAGATAGATATATGTCATGTGCTCTAAGAGAAAAAATTGCTCCATAGCAATTACTCAAAATGAAGTTCATCCATAAGCTGATGGTCTGCGTAGAGGCAGCATGATGCGGCTTCCTAATTATAATGTACAGAAGCTACCACAATTACTCCTTAAGTCTTTAATTTTTTTCTATATACTCTAACAAGGTTATTGCTATGCAAATACCTGGGTTTGTATAAAAGAAAACGGAAAGTTTAACATGGGATAAACTCTATTGTTAGCTGATATCTTCTTTTTTACCTTTTTCTGAATTTCTTGTTCTTTTCTGACAATTCTGTATCTCTATGGCTATAAAATTTGAATGTGCTAACCAATATATAAGACCAGTAACACTGCTAATTTATTGGTAAGGTTTTGACACTACATTTATGTCCCACGTGTTTTCTTATTTAAGCACATCTGGTCTTAAACCTAAAAAACTTCTAAAAAAATCTTTTTACCTGAAAATTCAGCTATTTGCGCTATATCTAATCTGTAACAGTTTAGTGAATTATATGATGAATCACTATAAAATTGTCTTGCTAAATATTCTAACATGGACTTCCAGCTACAATTTTAATCGGGAGTTATATTTTTTAGGCATAGTATCCGATATCCATGAGAGTTTACTGAATAATATTCCTGCCACCAGGGAAATTATTCCTGAGAAAGGATGGGTTATCCTATCAAAAGAAAGTAAGTCCTTATTAGGAGTGAATATCAATGTCTGATCTACTCATAGCAATAAAAATAAAAATAACGGATACCAAGACTGAGAGTCCCATAATGGTACCACCACCACAACTTTCACCACAAGCATATACAGGGGGCGACATATATCTTATTTACGAGACGAGGCAGAAATATAATTATAATTTTATTAACAATACATAGTTGTTATTAGTACCAAGTCATAACAGCAATAATTAATTTTTATTGTTTGTAACAACTTTTCAGTTCGTGTGAAATAGGCCTATTAATTATTAAATGAATATGAATCATTTAAATTTTCTTAAGTACGGATCTGTAATTGTAATTTTTATTGATTTTTTGTGAATGTTACTTCAAATTTAATAAGTTTATTTCAGAAATTTCCATGAAAACGTTAAGTAAATTTAATTTTAAAGTGAAGCAAAAATAATTAAAACCGCTTCAACTACATTTTGAATAGACTAAAATTGGTAGTAAATCGGCGTGCACAAAAATAAAAAGTTAATGAATGTATTCAGTTTTTTATGCTCTTTCCAAATTTGAAATTCAATTTTTAAAACTTTGATGTATAGGGTGTTGTTTAATGGTGGGTCAAATTTTAATAATTTTTGATTAGCCGAACCTGGATTTTGACATTTTTTTAATGTGTCGATAAATTCTTTTATTCGTGCAGATTATTTATGCAAAATATATAAAAAAAATATACTGAGTGATTCAAAAGTTATGGAGCAAAAAACACCCTATAACTCGGTTATAAAGGTCGCAAGAGTACTATATGGATTTTCGTTAACCCATGGGTTACCTCTATACATATGGAGTTCAAATATTTCCCTTTCACAATAAAACCCTGTATAATAGGATGGAAAGTAGCCATTCTTTTTGTACATCAATAGTTTGATTGAATTTTTCTTTGAAAATCGTCGGTTATCCGCAAATTTGTTAAGAAGTGTATCTACCATATGGAATGATTGCTTTTGTATCAGTTTCCAAAATTCCGACCTTCCTACTATTTACTTAATGAAAGCCAAATTTATTTTTAAGTCTTACCTTAGTAATAATTTATTATTTAACAATGGTACAAATTCTAAAGTAACTCACAAGACATGCTAGAGACAATTTGCTTCACTTGCCAGCATAAAGTAAATGTTATCAGAAACCAGCACTTCAATGACAGTCACGTATACCCTATTTTGATTAGGATAAGATTAATAAGTAGATAATTTTTATTTATTTGTCCATGACGCAATTTTAACAAATCGAAAATGTGAATTGGCATTTTTAGGCTATTGATTAAGTCCTTCGCGGGTTTTTATCACATGTATTATTTAAATGCCCAATTAGATTGAATTTGAGGATGGACATTGAAAATAAGGGCAACGTGCAATCTTAGAGAGTATAGGAATCATGATTTTTTTCGACTTCGAGTTTTCGACGGATTTTTACGTTTTGAGGTCCCCTGAATCCGTTTTGAAATTTTCGCGATGATGTGTGTGTGTGTGTGTGTGTGCGTGTGTGCGTGGGCGCGTGCGTGCGTGCGTGCGCGCGCGTGTGTGTGTGTGTGTGTGTGTGTGTGTGTGTGTGTGTGCGTGTGTGCGTGGGCGCGTGCGTGCGTGGGCGCGTGCGTGCGTGCGTGCGTGCGTGCGCGTGCGCGTGTGTGTGTGTGTGTGTGTGTGTGTGTGTGTGTGTGTGTGTCTGTGTGTGTGTGTGTGTCTGTGCGTGTGTGTGTGCGCGCGTGTGTGTGTGTCTGTGTGTGTGTGTCGCAAACTCATGAACCGATACACAGAAAAACACCAAATTTCAAACTTAAGCTTTGTTCCAGCGTACAATGTGCTGATTAGATTTTGGGTAGTGTCGGAACATCTGGGGGGGGGGGGTACTTTATAGGTGTTTATGGATTATATCTGTTATTTACGTTTGGGTAAGAAAATTCTTCAAATAAAAGTTACTTCTTATATTATTATCTAAAATTTTTGTTCAATACAAAATTTTCCTAAAATGGTCCGTATTCGAGAAATTTGACAAAATGTAAAAAAATATTTTTTTATAAAAATTGTTCAAACAAAAGTTGTTTGTAATATAATTCTCTATAATTTTTATCCTATTCATAATTTCTATAAAATGGACCGTATTCGAGATATTTGAGAAAATGTGTAAATTTCGAAATTTGAAGAAAATTCAAAAACGGATAAAGAAAAAAACATTAAATTTTAAACTTCAGTTTTATTTCGGCCTGACGTGAAATGATTAGATTTTGGACAAAGTCGGAACATCTGGGGGGGGGGTACTTTATGGGGGGCAGTTTTTATATTTTATGGAATATATCTGTTATTTATGTTTGGAGAAAAAAAATTGTTCAAATAAAAGTTATTTCTAATTCGAGAAATTTGACAAAATGTGCAAAATTCTGATTTTTATGAAAATTGTTGAAATAAAAGTTGTTTGCGATATTGATCTCTATAATTTTTGTTTATACATGATTTTTCTAAAATGGACCGTAATGGAAAAATTGTAGGAAAAGTGCTAAATTTAAATTTTTCAGTATTTTCATTTTCAATGAATATCTATAGAAAAATGTTTCGATGTAGATGTATGTGGAAAATGTATATATTAGTTTTATACTCTAAACATTTATGGAGGTGCTGCAATAGGTTGTACAAAATAACCGGAAAAGGCCTGTAATAACTAGATAGGAAAGTCACGCTCAAACTTACCTTTTTTTTCAAATTTTATAGCGCGTACTTGATACCGTTTTAATCCTAATATTATGTTTGTATGTAAGCCGGCACGATAACCCTAGAACGAAAGTACTGATTGACTTGCGGTTTTGATTTTCTTGAATAATTGCTTCTAACTTAGGACTCTATAAATTTTGAGAATTTTCGGTTCTTACTAACTACTTTAATATCAGTTTTCTTCAAATCCGCTCATGCATTTCTTTTGTGACTTATTTTACGCTTTCCAATCATTTCTAACGTCTAACATTCCTAACATTCCATACATTCCAAACATTCATTAGAATTTAGAATTATATCTATTATGCTCTGACAATACAAATTAACGCGATGTTGCCAAGTGTCCAATTAAAATCAACAAAAAAGGAATATAAAAATACCTTATTTTTGATATATTTCCATACTCTTTAAAAAGCAGTTTGAATTTATTTCCGGTCACACCCGTGTTAGATTCTAGTATTTTTATACATATTTCCCATTATTAATATTTGCTGGACGCTCCTGGTAATATTCTTGGGTGTGGTACGTTTTTGGCTGCCACAATGCTGGGATATTTCGATGAGTGAACAGACGCGGTTTTGGGAAGAAAAGAAAGGGAAATATGGACCGGCATTATTATTATTATTAATTGATTATCGTTTGTGGAATTTGCATGATTAGGTATAAAGTTTATTTTTGAAAAGTGAATTTCTTTTACCCGTTTGCTAATACCCGATCATTTATTTATCCATTTTGATTTATTTGTAGTACATAATTTTTAAATATTTATATTACGTCATCTATAAAGTAATAAACAATGTACTTTTCGAAAACTTTGAAACATATTACTTTATGTTATCCAAAAGTTTTTAAAACTTTTTTGAATCAAGTGAATTTATTTATTTGATAACTGACGCTAGCCAGCCAAGTTAAAAGAGTACTATCAACAAGAGGATAGCTGAATTAGTTCAATTTGTGCTGGGTTAACTGTGACGTCACTCAGTGGATACTTTTAAGGCATTTCTTTATAAAATCTTGAAGAGGTTGAATGGTGTGTACACACTGGGTAATAAGAAATGAATGGAACGAATTTAAAGTGTGTAGGTAGTTTTATTAATATTAACAAAACTCAGTAAAATTAGTTTTACTGAGTTTTATTAATATTAATAAAACTACCTACACACTTTAAATACGTTCCATTCATTTCTTATTTCTTTATAAGCTTAACACAACATACTTGGTTACAGTATTGTGATTACTGCGGTGACGTGACACTGTGGTAATCTTTTATATAATGTCATATGTCAAATTTAATTTAAGTTTAAGGATTTCTAAACGGAATTTGAGGTCAAATTTCGCTTAGCCAAAATTGTTGCCCTGGAAACTTACCATGGTAGCTAGTATACACAAACCCAAATCTCGTGGTGAGGAAATGCATAGTTGCCAAGTTATAGATTATTTAATGTTCACTTTAGTTTAGACGAAATCAGTTATAGTGAAACTGTTGCCATGGGAACGCTTTGGTGAGGAAATGCGTGGTTGCCAAGTTAGAGATGATTTAATTAAGCTGTAATCAGTTACGGAGAAACTGTTGCCATAGAGACTAAACGACTAAACAAAAACCCAATTCCCGTGGTAAGGAAATGCATAGTTGGCAGGTTACAGGTCATTTAATTTACACTTATTTACATTTAATGTCGACTAAACAAAAAACATTGTTGTAACTTCAGCTGGGTTCTTCTCTCGTGAAACGGAGTCTATCATGTCGCAAATATATTTTTTTAATATTACGAAATGGATACATATCAGAATCAAAATCAACAAGTTTAAAATCAAATTGAATCGAAAACAATAAATCAATAAGCATATAATAATTGATGAAGTATTTAAATTTTAAAGTATCATCGAACGAGCATTGGTTTTCAGTTCAAACAAATTATTGTAGCAAATGCCTGGCATAATAGACAACGTATAGTGAACGATAAATTCAATAAAACAAAACTGAATTGTTGGATTTATAAATAAAGTATGATAGAAATATATCGCGTATTATATATAAAATAATGAAATTCTAAAAATGTACAAAGCTAAACATCATATTCACACTTTTTGCACAAATTTATACTTTTATGCAAGAATACTATTATACAGATTGAATTTTACCCAAAGAAATTACTAAATACTCATAAAAAACTGTCAGAACAAGTCTATTTACTTTCATTGAGGTATTTATACTCTCAACAATTAATTCATATTAAGATTGTTCTAAATTGAACCTCTGAGATGATAGTCAAACATCGCTCTCTATATAGTAGACTGTCGCTGTCAAAGAGCCTCGTTTTCCTTATTTTTTTAAATCATTAAATATTTATTGTAGACAAATAAGTGTAACTTAGATCATACTTATTTTTTTTATTTTTAGATTATTGGTAACTGACTTAGAGATTGATAAATTACTAGTACGTTAACCCACAACACACAATAAACACCCTTAAGAATGAACTGGGGGAGTACACAATTACAGGGAAGGAAACAGTAAGGGAACTCTTCAGGGTTCACTTCCCCGGTGCACAAACCATAGCACATACACCGGCTAACCGAAATCTAAACGGACTGGAAGCTCATAATAGAGCCAACAGAGAAGATTAGAGGATAGCCAAACAAGTGGTGAACTATGGTAAACTGAAATAGGTAATTAGCTCATTCGAACCATATAAATCACCGGGCACTGACGGGATTTATCCAATAATGTTACAAAGAGGTCCTGATACAGCAGACTCTGTAATATACTCAGAAGTAGCTTGGCCTTTGGACACATACCAAAAGCTTGGAGAAATATTAGGGTAACTTTTATACCAAAGTCTGGAAAAATAGGACAGGAAACGGCAAAGTCCCTAGGACTAATACGTCGTATGTCCTTTGTACTTAAAACTTTGGAAAAACTGCTAGATAGGCATATGAGAGACGGGATATTGATTCAGAGGCCAATATACCAAGACCAATACGCCTATAGTGCAGGGAAATCAACTGAAACAGCTCTCCATCAATTAATAAAAGGGGTGGAGAACACACTGGAAAACAAGGAGGTAATGCTGGGAGCATTCTTGGATATCGAGGGTGCATTTGACAATACCTCCGTTAAATCGATCATTAGATCTCTCAAACACAGAGGAATCGAGGACACGTGCGTGTCCTGGATCGACTCTATGTTAAGGAAGAGAACCATACACACAACCGTTATGGGAAAAACAATAGCAGCACGGGTAGCGAGAGGGTGTCCGCAGGATGGAGTGCTATCTCCACTTCTGCGGAACCTTGTAGTGGACGGGCTGCTTAGGGCTCTCAAAGATAAGGGACATAGAACCCTTGGATATGCCGATGATATAGTGTTCATGGCACAGGGAAAATACAACACTATAGTAAGAGATCGAATGCAAGAGGCTCTA